CTTAGAGAGTCTAGGACAGAACATGTAAACAGAGTAACTTCTACAGCTGTGTACCTACATTCTTAGAGAGTCTAGGACAGAACATGTAAACAGAGTAACTTCTACAGCTGTGTACCTACATTCTTAGAGAGTCTAGGACAGAACATGTAAACAGAGTAACTTCTACAGCTGTGTACCTACATTCCTAAAGAGTCTAGGACAGAACATGTAAACAGAGTAACTTCTACAGCTGTGTACTTACATTCCTAGAGAGTCTAGGACAGAACATGTATACAGAGTAACTTCTACAGCTGTGTACTTACATTCCTAGATAGTCTAGGACAGAACTTGTAAACAGTGTAACTTCTACAGCTGTGTACCTACATTCCTAAAGAGTCTAGGACAGAACATGTAAACAGAGTAAATTCTACAGCTGTGTACTTACATTCCTAGAGAGTCTAGGACAGAACATGTAAACAGAGTAACTTCTACAGCTGTGTACTTACATTCCTAGAGAGTCTAGGACAGAATATGTAAACAGGGCAATCAATTAGTAAACAAATACGTTAACTATATGGATATTTGGCTATTTAACACTTCAGAATTTTCTTGATAGACCTTTGTATTCATTAATGTAACAGGTTTTAAGTCAATTACTTCAAATTAAATGTACTTGTTATATGCAAGTACAGAAGGGTTGTTTTTTAAGGTATAACAAATTAAAAATAAAACTACTGTAATAATTCTACCTATTTTGTCGCCAATTATATATATTGTAATAAGATTTTATGATAAATTTTGGAGATTATCATTTTCTGTACATCAATACTATCGGATAATTTTTTTTCTTTTTTGTCCACCAGCAAAGCGAAAAAAACAACAACAAAAAAAAACTCAATATTAAACTTTTTTCTATATTTTCCTTTCCAGCCTGGAGAGGGCAAGCATCTGACGTTTTCTACGCCAGTGGCCGCTATGATGGTAGACGGGAGTCCTCGCCGGGCCAGTGGTGTACAGGTCGAAGTTGTGTCGAAGTGTAACGAAAATCTTGTGGAGAGTCTAAAACCTAGTGGATCTCAAGAGGCAGCTGAAGGTCGAAAAACGACAGCTTCGCCTAAAGAAGGCAGTAATACCAGGAATGTGACCAGTAGATCCAGGTGGCTAAAGCTCAGGACCACCGTCCAACTGAGCGGAGCTATTACTCACAGCCAGAAGAAGCCTCCATTGAAACGAGAAGATTCATTTTTGAAACGATTCTCAACTCGCCAGTTCCCCGATTCGGTTTCTGGCGATGGCAGCGCCTCCTACAATTATGATACTCAGTTTGAACGCTGGAAAGGCTTACAGTGCCTCAGGGTGCTATTACACGTAATTAATCCGGATGAAAATTTATTATTCGGTTGGCTCTGGTTGCTAACTGGTTGTGTGTTGTATAACGCGTGGACACTAATAGTTCGTCAGGCGTTTCCGGAGTTACACCAAGCAGCGGCTTCTTTTTGGTTCACAGCGGACGGGTTTTCCGATCTAGTTTACCTCATCGACATTGCGGTACAATTTAGGACTGGTTACTTGGAACAAGGTTTAATGGTCGTAGATGCCAAGAAATTAGCATTGCACTACGTGCGTTGCCGTCATTTCCTCATGGATCTAGCGGCTCTGGTTCCTTTGGACCTCTTGCAGCTCCACGTGGGCACGATACCACTATTGAGGTTTCCAAGGTTCAGCAAAGTGTACAGATCTTACAGATTCTATTATATGGTCGAGTCGAGAACTATTTACCCGAACCTGTGGCGTGTAGTGAATCTAATTCATATCCTGCTCCTGTTAGCGCACTGGTTTGGTTGTTTTTATTACATGTTGTCCGAGTTCGAAGGATTTCAGGGAGAATGGGTTTACCCTAAACCGGAAGGGGATTATGCAACTTTGACCCGGAAGTACCTGGGCTCTGTCTACTGGTCAACATTAACCCTTACAACAATAGGAGACTTAGCAACACCTGCGTCAAATCTCCAGTAAGTTAATTTTACTTATAGGTTTGATTAAGGGTGTAGTTTCGACCACAAATTTTCGCCAGACTGAAACTTCGTCTCCAAAATTCAATTAGTTGAAATTGAAATCTATAAAAGTTATCTAAGTAGTCTTATAAAACAAAAAAAATATTTAATGAAAGAAACACTTGAGAGTACAACTAATACTAAAAAAACAAATATATTTAATGAAAGGAATCCTTGAGAATACAACTAATACTAAAAAAACAAATATATTTAATGAAAGAAACACTTGAGAATACAACTAATACTAAAAAAACAAATATATTTAATGAAAGAAACACTTGAGAATACAACTAATACTAAAACAACAAATATATTTAATGAAAGAAACACTTGAGAGTACAACTAACACTAAAACAACAAATATATTTAATGAAAGAAACACTTGAGAGTACAACTAATACTAAAACAACAAATATATTTAATGAAAGAAACACTTGAGAGTACAACTAATACTAAAAAACAAATATATTTAATGAAAGGAATCCTTGAGAGTACAACTAATACTAAAACAACAAATATATTTAATGAAAGAAATCCTTGAGATTACAACTAATACTAAAAAACAAATATATTTAATGAAAGAAATCCTTGAGAGTACAACTAATACTAAAAAACAAGTATATTTAATGAAAGAAACACTTGAGAGTACAACTAATACTAAAACAAATATATTTAATGAAAGAAACACTTGAGAGTACAACTAACACTAAAAACAAATATATTTAATGAAATTACTTGAAGAAAATCACAAAATTCGACAAACTTTGAAAGTATTTAATTAGATGAAAGAAATATTAAATTTATTACACAGCTTTAATTACAGGAAAATCTTTTAATGCCTTCGTATTATGTTTATAAAAATTTTTGAGCCTGTTTTAAATTTAGAGTTAATATATGAGATGCAATTTAAAATTAGTTATATAACTTCAAATTTAATGTATTTAACTTCAATTGATGAATAGGAAATTATGAGTTATAAATTTTCTAAAAGAATAAAAAAGCTGAAAGAAAGGGAAAAAAATCAGCAAAAATTTTTAAATATTAAAGTATTCATGAATTAAAACCGAAATAACTAATTTAGGGAATATGTTAATATGAAAGATCTTTTCCTGACATTTTTAAAATATTTTATCATTATATCAATATTAAAAGTAATAATGGAATTGATTTAAATGATTAGAGACCTAAAGTTGTTAAAGAAATATTAATAAAATTTTAGAATCAATAAATAGTTTTTTCAAGTTCTCAATACGAATATAGCAAAAATAAGAATATAGAGGATTCATCACATTAGGTGATTAATAAATTAAATTATTTATTAATGATGATAACTTATCATGTGCTCTTTTTTTTGGATCAAAAGCTCATTTTCACAAGAACTTTTATTAAAAGAAAATTAATAGAATATTGATTAAGAGGTTTTCTTTTAAATTGGTTTAGATCATATATAGTAGTTCAGATTAATATAATTACTAGAATCATAAACAATTAAACTGAAGCTATTTATCCGTTACCTCAGACATCATTGTTGGGTCCATTATTACTTAAATAACGATATCAAAATATTAATAGTGTTTTAAGATTCAATAGCAAACAGTTTTAATGTTTATTAAACAATGTATACGATTTTTTAAAAATTAAAACAAATCTATAAAATGAATTAATATTTTATATTAACTGTAGGTTCTTAGATATAAAATTAATGCAAATATTAATTGTGTTTTACACAAATCTGACTATGTTAAATGTTTTCGAAGAGTAACACGTTTTAGATTTATTTGTAAAGAACAAATTAAAGTAATTGATTTTTGTAATGTTGAAATACAGACATGCTACTCTTGAAGTACTAAAAACAGGTTTATTGGTAACCGCTAATAAGAATACAAACTTATTGGTAACCGTTAATAAGAATAAGAGCATGTTGATAACCGCTGATAAGAATATGGGGTCAAAAGGTGAAGTAGGAGATATTTAGGAATAGTTATCGTTAATAATTAGAAATCTAATGAAAATACCGAAATTTGTTCGAGTCACGTTAATATTAATTACTCTCTTGATGGTAAATAGAAAGACTTAGAGGCTACAAATAGTTAAGTCACCAGGTCCAGGAGGTCAAAGATCAGATATACGAGTCTATCAATGTTGAGGTTTAAATAGTTGCTAAAGTCAGTCCTACTTGTAAGAGCAGTCCTCGAAATTATAGGCCAATCAGTCTTACTTTGTATTGGGAAAAATCTATCGAATCTGATAACAGAGGCTTTAAGACATCATTTAGTGATTATAACTGAAAGACAACATGAATTCACAGAAGAGAAACTTGCCTTACTAATCTGTCCTATTATCTATTTTCAACGATGTTACTTGAACGACTTAAATTTTAGAAGATATAACTTCTGATAAGGTGCGATACAAAAGTCTGGAGAAAGACTAGTTAATTATAGTGTGGTTGAATGGATGCGAGCTGTTATTAATGGATTTGAGTCAAATTGAACCTATTTTTTATATAGGTTAATGATAAAGGACATGATTAGTACATTACAGAACGATTGATAATTGTAAATGTAATGCACATAGGCTATCATATTTTAAATCATACCAACTCAACAGCGTTACTGGAGAGAATTATCTTGGCATAGTTGTGGATAAGTAACCCTAGCCACAGAAGCAGTGCTCTGTTGCTAGTATTAGAACTAATAAAAGTTGTGTGTTGATTTCAAGTCAAAATGGTTATTGTATTTCTATATAAAGCGCTTGTTAGGCCTCATCTGTAATCCCGTGCACAGGTTGGCCTTCTTATTTAAGAAAGGTTACTGACTTAGTGGAAAGGGGAAGACTACTGGGAAGGGTTATCTCATTGGATTGGTGATATTTTGAGATTTACAAGATTATTCGTGAGATGGTTATGATAAAGACATCTGATTTCTTTACTAACTTGAGAAGATAATAAGACGAGACGACACAATATTTAATACTTGTAAAAGACAGTTTCTGATTAAGTTGATTGGCTTATGGACCAGCTTGCCATTGGCTGTAGCGGACATCGACACTTTACAAGAGTTTATGAGGAGAATCGTCAGGGCTGTACCAGGCGTAGTGCGAGGGTGCGCCCGCATAGAGCACCGACTCGTAGAGGACGCGAGCTTACATCTTTGAGAGTGAGAATAGATTATTTTTTTTTAAAGAGGGGCGTGGAATTTATATATCGTACAGAGCGCCATCCATAGGAGTCCCCCGGTGGGACAGCGCTAAGTCTACGGAATCGCAAAGCTAAAACACGAGGTTCGATTCCCCGCCCTGGACATAGCAGATAGCCCAATGCGCCTTTGCTCTAAACGAAAACTAAAATAAACAATTTTTACTTCTCCCAAGTACGTGTAAGAACAGCCTTAAAGGATCAAATGGTCAGTATTTATACACAGACACTGAACTTGAATGAATCACACAACGTTATCCCAGACTTTTCTCGAAAACTGTAAAGAACAAACCTCTGTTTCTGACAAAGCTACACACGGACTATCTGCGCTTGCCCTCTCTAAATTTGGACAGATAGACTAGAGTTTGTTTTTAGTTATTTGTACACAGTATATTTAGTTTTATTGTTCGCATCTTGTTTCTTAAAAAAAAAAAGATATTAATTGATTAATTATAGATAATCGGGATTTCTACAAGTCCTATAAAAATCTCGTCTAGACTGAAAGAGTAACCTAAATAAAATACAAGAGACTGTGACCGTTTCTCATCTTCATTTCTCAAATATAACAATATAATGTTTTTAACGCAACGTTTTCACGCGACTTCGTTTGATAGTTTCGTGAAAAACGAAAGCACGAGTCGCACTGAAATGCTTTGCTAGCAATAACATAGACCCACTGAATATTTTTTACGGTCTTACTTTTTCAGGTTTTAATCCTGACGTTTAATAACCGCGTGATAATATTTTAAGACCTAAAACAAAACAAATAATATTAGCGTTGCGTTGTTGGTATATTATCGGATTCATGTACAGTTCAAACGTAACTTGGACATACAAAACAAATAATATTAGCGTTGCGTTGTTGGTATATTGTCTGATTTATGTACAATTCAAACGTAACTTGGACATACAAAACAAATAATATTAGCGTTGCGTTGTTGGTATATTATCAGATTCATGTACAGTTCAAACGTAACTTGGACATACAAAACAAATAATATTAGCGTTGCGTTGTTGGTATATTATCTGATTTATGTACAGTTCAAACGTAACTTGGACATACAAAACAAATAATATTAGCGTTGCGTTGTTGGTATATTGTCTGATTTATGTACAGTTCAAACGTAACTTGGACATACAAAACAAATAATATTAACGTTGCGTTGTTGGTATATCATCGGATTTATGTACAATTCAAACGTAACTTGGACATACAAGACAAATAATATTAGCGTTGCGTTGTTGGTATATTATCTGATTCATGTACGTACATAAATCAGATAATATACCAATAACGCAACGCTAATATTATTTGTTTTGTATAGCCAAGTTACGTTTGATCTGTACATGAATCAGATAATATACCAACAACGCAACGCTAATATTATTTGTTTTGTATGTCCAAGCTACGTTTGAATTGTACATAAATCAGACAATATACCAACAACGCAACGCTAATATTATTTGTTTTGTATGTCCAAGTTACGTTTGAACTGTACATAAATCAGATAATATACCAATAACGCAACGCTAATATTATTTGTTTTGTATAGCCAAGTTACGTTTGAACTAATTCAAACGTAGCTTGGACATACAAAACAAATAATATTAGCGTTGCGTTGTTGGTATATTATCTGATTTATGTACAGATTAAACGTAACGAATACTTAGTGGTGATGGTTATTTACGTAGATAAAGTTTATTAACACGTTTTTTTAACGTTTCTTCGAATATGTTGGCGTGTGTTACTACTAGTTACACCTTCTTTAATATCGGCATGGTGTTTAGTGTGTTACTACTAGTTACACCTTCTTTAATATCGGTATGGTGTTTAGTGTGTCACTACTAGTTACACCTTCTTTAATCTCGGCATGGTGTTTAGTGTGTTACTACTAGTTACACCTTCTTTAATATCGGCATTGTGTTTAGTGTGTTACTACTAGTTACACCTTCTTTGATCTCGGTATGGTGTTTAGTATGTCACTACTAGTTACACCTTTATTAATCTCGGCATGGTGTTTAGTGTGTTACTACTAGTTACACCTTCTTTAATATCGGCATGGTGTTTAGTGTGTTACTACTAGTTACACCTTTATTAATCTCGGTATGGTGTTTAGTGTGTTACTACTAGTTACACCTTTATTAATCTCGGCATGGTGTTTAGTGTGTCACTACTAGTTACACCTTCTTTAATATCGGTATGGTGTTTAGTGTGTCACTACTAGTTACACCTTTATTAATATCGGCATGGTGTTTAGTGTGTCACTACTAGTTACACCTTTATTAATCTCGGCATGGTGTTTAGTGTGTCACTACTAGTTACACCTTATTTAATCTCGGCATGGTGGTTAGTGTGTCACTACTAGTTACACCTTATTTAATCTCGGCATGGTGGTTAGTGTGTCACTACTAGTTACACCTT